ATGCTCAAAATGAGTTTGTACAAACTTATACCTTGGCCTTGCGTCTTCGTGTGCAATCCGATTGGCTGCATCCATATTGGCCGGTGAAACAGGTCGTTCACGTTCCAAACTGAAATCGATATTAAGTAAATCGGGTCGTTTTTTGCTATTGCTACCTAAGCGTGCCCGGCGCGCCCATGAACGATCCAAACTGCCGTACGACGACGTTTTACGTTCGCGGAAATTATTCTCATTGGCCGATGATCTCAAGAAATCCATGAGATTATTATCATCCTCTTCGCTAAGAACTCGACTTCGACGACGTCGTAAGCTGCCGGTTGGTGTGATGTCTAAACGATAGATTTGCTGATTTATCAAATTTATCATTGAAAAATTGAAAATGGAAACACACCTGGTGAGAAACCATCATCGCGATACTCTCCGCCGCTATTAAAAGAGCCCATTCTCCGTCTCATCGCCGGACTGGCTCTAATATCCAATTGTGATGAGTCAAACATTAAACTATTGTCGGAATCTGATACGGGTGTGCCAGCTTGGCTTTGTCGTGCACGTTTTGCCAATTGCTCTTCGCGCAATTTTCGTCGAATGGTTGCTTGTTCCTCCTGCAAGCGACGACGTTCATTCTCGTTAACGGCTTGTTTGAATTTCTCGCAAAATGTTTGAAATATTTTAAAGCATTCTTCCAATCTGAATGTATTTGGATCTTCGCAGAAAAACTCGGACAATTGTAATCGAAGCGCTTCAACCTCTTTCATGCCACGCTGTAGCATTTGCACTTTATTCTCGGCCGCTTGAAGAAAGTCGGACATTTGAAATTTCAAATCGGGTTCGGTCGTTGGTAAATCGATTTGACGCTTAATTTTTGTAATTCGTGCCTCGAGCGCATTAATTTCATTTGTGATTTGCTCAGACGTTGTTCTGAAAAATATATAAGATATAAAATTTGTCTGTCGGCGAGAAAATCCAAACTTACTTCGATGCATTGTCCAATGCGGTTAAATTTTCAGGAAATGTCAATAGACTTGGATTCTTCTTTTCGGCTTGCAGTGCAACAAAATGTATCAAATTCATGCCCGGCTTGTTGGCACGAATGTCGGTGAGTTTTTGAAGTGATGCCAATTTAACTCCAGCCGCGTGTGCCGCATAACCACCTGCATTCAGGAAGTTACCAGCAACGACAACCATATACAAAACTTCTCTGAGTTGAACGTTATTCATTAGATCATCGCCAGCAAAGATTATTGCATTTATACTTGGCTCCAAATAACTCAAATTCGCCGCAAATTCTTCCTTTAATAACATGCCTTCGACGCGAAGTTTGTAACTGGAAATGCAAATTATAGTTTTATTCAAAAAAAGAAGAAAATCTCAATTAATGTACTGAAGAATTTTCTTACTTTGGAACTTGTGATAATTGCATCAAGAATTTTTCCGCATTTCCCAGTCGTAATTTATCACCATCGAATGCTTTCAACATATCCAATTCATCAATTTCTGGTAGAATCTTTAATAATCCACGCAATTTTTCCGCACCAATATCGTCATGTTCACCATCTTTTATCAGCTGGATTATCTCTTCATTTGTTCTGTGTGAATATTTTCAAATTAAATTTATACACTTTTTATTGTTTTCGGGATTTTAAAGAAGTTTTTTTTTTCTCAGATTTTTAACATACGTTCTAAATTGTTTCAAAAAGATGTTGATGTTTAAACTTCTCTTTCCGTCCAAAAGTGTAATCTACAAAATAGAGAACAATGATGTAATTTCACATTGAATCGAGTCAATTTGATTGAATCAAACCTCTGAGTTTTCTTTTCTTGACTTTCGTTCGCTTCCATTTGAGCATTCGGCTGATGTTGATGACGTATCCAATCGTGCACCCATTTTTGGGCTATTTTGTTGCGAATTAGTTGCTTGCTGACAAAACAGTCCCTCCATTTCGTTCCAATCTAACTCTGCCATTGGACTGTTCTGATGCGAATTTGCCACTAATGTCCAAATATTTGTTTTTCCCATCAATTTATTCGACGGGATTTTATTCCAATTGATGGTTTTCATTTTTGTTTTTGGTACTGGTGTCTCTTGTTGCGGCAATAATTTACCTAGATCAACAATTTCCGGTGTTTTTGGCCGATGTGTCTCTGTTTGCGATACAAAAAAATTGATGTGGAAAAAATATTTTTTTTTTTTTTGAAAAAAAAAGTGGCACTCACTTGGCAATGCTGGTGGTGGTGGAGCCGGAGCTGGATTTGACGAATTCGAAGCTGAAGGAAGATTGCCACTAGAAAAATTGGTTAGAATGTTATAAAAAGTTGTGAAATCGCTTAAAAAAGAGAGCGAGAACTAATTATAAACTTACGCCATTGGTGGTGGTGGAGGTGGTGGTTTGGGTACTTTTGAGCTTGAATCAATAATGGGCTCTATAGTTGTCGGTGATGTTGGAGAGAGCGGTATCGGTTGTGTTGTTTGATGTGTTGGTGTGACTGGCGTTGCAATGGATTGCTTACGATTCGGACTAGAAATATCGGTGCGACAATGCGAACAGGTGAATTTTTGAACGCTTGGCGTTCGCAACAAACGTGTTGAATCTTCACGATTCTCCAATAATGTGGCTCGATGTACAAGTGTTTCAGCGCAATCCCATATAATATCACTAATCGCTTCCTTTGGATCGATTCGCAGTAAATGTTGTAAAATGCTTAAAAATGGAATTTCCTGTGGTGTATCGGCGACCTGTAAAAACATTACAACAACACACGTACAGTGTGAGACAAAATCGATGCTGAAACCTGTTTGATTCTCAAATGCAAAATGTGTATGTACCTGTCCTAAAATTGTGTAGAACACATCCAAATGGGAATTTAAATTGATGCCGTTTGGTCCCTGGAGGCTTTGTGCCTCGTCACATTCACGTTGTTCATCAAATACGTCCAGTTGAACCGCAACATTTGCATTATTACCCGAAACTCGTCTGCAATTTTTCAAGGCAAACGAAAAAAAAAATAACAAGAACAAACAAAAACGTTTTGCTTTAAATAACTTCCTGTGGCGAAATCACAACAACAATTTCGAATATGTGTCACAGAAAAAAAGAGGAGAGAAAGTTTTCGATGTCATTGAATCTAAACTTAAATTAAAAATCGATTTGAATGCAGGCGGCGCGCAAGCATTTAAAAAAGTTTTGTTTGTGGGGTGCAAAGTCGCCAAAAATATAACGACTTTCATTTGCGGAAAATAAAGAAAATTTTCGATTTAAACACAGCACGTTTCAGCCAAAACAGAGGATGTCAATCGATTGCTGGGCACGAATACATTTGCAATGTGAAATGCGGTATAATGGCACGGCCAACAACAATTGCAACAGAGACACACAGGCCCTAGCACAGGCCACTGACACTCACAACTCAATCCAATTGAATGCAGTATGTTTAGTGCCGCTGTTGCTGCAGCAAGGGAATTACACTCTCGCTCGGATTCCGTATAATTCCGGATAATATATAATTGCACATTGAGCTCGTGAAATATATTTCGTCTCTTTTGGCTCGGGTGTTTTTTATGCATTGTTTACGTTCTCAAGCACCGAGTGACTGTAATAACATTTATTGCGCAAATTAAACTGAACAGAGACAATAACAATGCGACTACAAACAATTTTTGTGTGCTTTTTTTGCTACAATCAATATATGGATAAACTATCTTCGCTCTCTCTATCATTTTTTCTATCACCAATCGCTCAAGAGAAACATGTAATTGCAATTTGATGAAATGTAATCGCTTTTTTCGCAACATTTTATGAATTATGCTTGGCACCGCTTTAAGGTAGGTCAAATTTGCTAAGCGGTAATTTTCATTTCAACAATGATGGGTGTCATTTTAAGTACTTGCACTATCTCAATACGTATAAAATTATTAGCTTAGTCGCTTTGGTGCCGCTTACCAAGTGTTATTAAAATTGAAACGAGAATTTTGAGTGCAGAGCACGTGTGTGTTATGTGTATGCATACAAAATGCATAGCATTGTTCAAACCCACTTTTGAATGTAAAACCTTTTCGATTGACCCCTTTTCAGTGAATGTTTTTTTATATCCATTTGACATGCAATCGTTGATTTGTCCGAATTGGCAAATATTTGTACTTCGATGTGCATCGGAAAATACTTCTCAGTGTGAGACGAAGCTTATGTTCGGTAGGTTTTTTGAAGAATGTTCGCACACTAATTCGTTGTCAGAAGAGATTTAAACTCACAGAGAGTGCAAGATAGACATAGAGAACGAGAGAGATAGATAGATAGAGAGAGATGGAGAGCAAAAGAAAGAAGTATCTATTTCCGAGGTCTTTGACCCATAAATCCGAGTCGTTCAATGTGAAATATACATTGCTTGCCAAGAAAAACACACTTGAATTATTAAAATCAATCGATTTCCATTGTGTACACACGTATTCAATTTTCCCACATTTGTTTCACACCATATTCTTTGTGTTGACTAACTCAATTGTTCAATTTGAACAAAATTCATTTTCAATTAATCTTGACCTTTACGTATACGCGTGCCGAGCGGAATGCGTTTTCTCTTACGACAAATTGTCCACAAATACTTTTCAATATACACCAAAATGATACCTACGCCTACGCTTGATTATTTTTGTGAAAATTGTTCAAATTAAATTTTATTGCACTCTTATCGCATTAACCATTAATTGCAATGCACAAAAAAAAACAAATACAATGCACCATCGACACTTGCACCGACCGACCGCGCAAAATAGAATGACAGTGCGATAATCCCCGACCACGAATCAATTTCAATTTAAAATCGAATTTTATTGACTTTATGAATGTGCTTGAATTGATATTGTCATCGGTTTTCATAACATGCACGGCCGATTGTTCTGGCCCGACTACTGTCTTCGCATAAGTTTTCTGGTGCGTTATATTCATCCTTTTGATTTTCTTCTTCTTTTTTCATCGGATTTTCATGTTTATGTAATAGATGAATGGTGTGTGTGCCGCAGGCGATATGCATGCAGTACACAGCTGGATCGAGATGGTTGCGAATGCTGTGTGTGCGACTACAACGACATATAAACACTATCCAACCGATTGAGTGACGAAAAAAAAAAAACATTGGATACACGTGGTGCGCGCGCACCAATGCACCACTTCTACCAAAAAAAGAGCAAAAAAACAACGAATTTAATTTTCATGAATTTTTCCATGTGGAATGAGAGAACTATTCGAATTTAATTCGCAACAAATTCACTGTGAGGATATACATGTATATAAAGGGATTTATAGTATTTCTGCGTTTGGTAATGATTTGCGAATGTTGCCGCTTGCCGGCTTCACAACACGAAACTGGATGGCAGACTTAAACGGAAGAATAGCTTTTTTCGGCGAATTTACGGAAATCGAAGCCATATGAAAATGCATGCATAATAAAAAGCTGGTGATAGTTGGAAGGGTTTCGGAAATTATCGAACAAAACGACGTCAATCATCACATTTTTTTGATTTAATTTGAGGGAAAAAGACGTGAATCCATGCCATAAAGTCTGACAGCTACATTTAACAAAAAACGGTCTGATTCCAGTTTTCTATTTTATTAATCGCATTCGATCAATGGATCAATATTTAAACGGCTATCCCCAATACTTTCGTATCGGTCTTTGTCGTTTTTGACACGATAAAGGCTTTTTCATACGCCCGAATGGTATCGATGCTATTTTTGCGTGTACACATTTCCATGTGTGTTACGTCATTGTCGCGCCGTCATCGATCCACTCCACCACAATCACAGTCGCCGCAAATGAGCACAATATTTATTCAAGCATTTCGCATGGTGAACACAAGACATTTCAATCCATACCAATACATTCAATTATTTCACAGTTTTCAACGTGTCACAACATCTGAATGAAATGGACTGTTACGATGTCAATTTTTCTCGTTAAAAGAGTTTGGGATAGGTTTTGTGTAAAAACTTTTGGAATGGCAATCGAAGAAAGGAACTTTCATGTGTTTGTTGGAAATTGAAAATTTTCATTCAGACGATGGATAATTGAACAAATTCTTGTAAAGTTTTCAATTGGTTTAAAGTTTATTTTAAGTTTCTTTTCTTCGCTTTCTTTCCTTTTCAGTTGGAATTCTCCGTTTTTTTGCGCTCCTGAATACTGAGTCGTCAAATTATAGTATAATTATTATATACCCCGTCCAAATTGCGACCTTTTGCATGTCGCCAGTTTTTTTTTTGCCAACCACAAAAGAAACCATTATTCTCACGCAAATTCCATGTTACGATACAAACCTTATGTTCGTCAGAATCGGCAGTATTTTTAGACCTGAAAAACACAGTGTGAAAAAAAATGTTTAAATTTAATGCTGCAGACAATATTAACAAGAATATACATAAATTTCAATTTATTGGCAATAAAAATGTCTGTAATGGAAAATCCAGTTTTACAGCGATGTGGAATGTGATAAAAAAACATCTCGACAGGAATGTTAGCTGACATACTCTATTTTTTCCTTTGTACGCAGGATTGGAACGGAAATGTTATATAAATTGACTCATCGAAATCATACGCGGTCATGTGTCGCACATTTTCTACTTTGACGATGCCATCGATTGATATTATAATGATGACGGCATAATTACACTGTACTAATTGAGTTGAGATATTTTTTTTGCGATTATTTCAATGACTTTACTCGTGAGCCTTATTGATAATCTTGAGTGGAATGTCATTTTGAAAGACGCGAGTTTAGAAAATATATATCTTTCTTAATGGATAGAAGCACTTATTCAATTTCGCACTTATAATTTTTGTCATTGATTTGAATCGATTAGCCGATGTATGAACAAGACATTTACATGAGCGTTATTTTCAGTCAATTAAGTCACGATATATCGCGCATTCAATTAGTATACTTTGATCGTGCGGTACATTATCTTGGAAATTACGATGCAAAGTGCATTAAATTTGCATAAAAAATGCATAAATCAAATGTCTTATCTGAAAATTAGACGTCATTTCGTTGGATGAGCGACAGACACTGTGAAATCCACTGTGTGAATAAGACTATTTTGTGGATGAGGAACGAAAGAAGAGATTCAATGAAGTTGGATTACAAGTAGAATGAGAACGTTTTTTGTATGTCAAATGAATTGTTAGGGAGAAGAAGAGTTCCAAGGTAATTATCCCGAGACGAAATTATGAGCAAATTAATTTCAAGCTAAAAAAAAGTTTAGAATTAATGTAATTGGATCTGTTCCAACTGGAGTACGTAAAGGTCAACATTGAAGTTTAATTATGTAAAATTGGTTAAAAAACAATGCTCAATTTCACTTTTGTCGCATTCGAATTAACTTCCCATATTTTTTTGCCAAAATAAAAGTTTTCTCATACTTACCAATGAACTCATTTCGAAGGCGTATTCGCTCTCGCAGGCCTTGTGTTGCATTTATAAGACAATTTACAAATGATAACAAAGCTACTTGGTATTCAATGTTTGCCGTTTCAAGTTCGCTGACCACAATTTTCAGGCGATATCGTGCGCCTTTTAAATTCTGTTTTCCAAAACAAAAGAAATTTAATCGATTTTGTTTTAATGACATAATCGTGATTTTCATATCTTTTATTGATTTTTGTCTTTCGACACCTACCTGATAATGATCTAATGTTTCTAGGGCTCGTGCGTAACCGTCGGCATTGTACGCACACAGTGCCGAAAGCAATTCAAACACTTGCTTTTTAACGGTTGCATTGGTGGTATCGAGTGCGGTTCCTAATTTTATGACATATTCACGATTTTCCACAATGTATTCCAAACCGATGCGTGTATGATCCATTGTTTGGATTAGATTGTCGTGCGTTTTTCGATATTCTTCTTTTTGCTTCGGCCTTTGTGTCGTAAATCAATTGTTCGACTACGCATTTCCACAAATAATCGTCTCATCCATCACCGCCGGCGTGCTTGCGTGTATACAGCCTTATTTCGTTTTTGGTGCTTTTTATTGTCGATTGTATGCATCAATTTTGGTCTGAAAAAGAAGACACAAAAAAAAATAGAATGTAAAAATTGGATATTCTCTAGAAATTCATTAAAATGTATAGAAATGGAAAATGAGTCGTGCAGTCAGTTGAGTAATCGATTCATTTTATTCTAAAAACGATCATTTATTTATGCCTTCGACGCAACGTGTGGAAAGTAGGAGAAATTTTAAAATACAATTATTTGGCATTCATTATTTTGAATAGTAAACAATTATTTCGAACATTTTAAAGAACTAGAATTTTTTGCTGTCTTCTTTTTTTAGACACATCTATATTTTATTCTGGCGCTATTAAGAAAGATTAACAACAATGTAAAGTAAATTTCTCCAAATGTCCATCCGATACAAAGCTTCATTAAAATGAGTCAGATGTGTGTATTCAGTTCATAAATCTCAGCAAAAACGAATTGGTATTTAATTAAACGACATCATCTTCAAATAAATTCTAAACGATTTGTCCATAATTGACAACTTTAACCATTTTTTTTTATTTTTACAACCTTCTCGATGTCAATGTTGTAACAACCATATTTATTCTATTATAAGTTTTTTAGTCCTTTGTTTCATTGACATCGAGAATGTATTTGCTAAAAGTTAAAAGTTTGAATTTAAAATGTAAAATTCATATTTTCAAAGACAAGAATTTTAAAGAAAAATAAACAGTTGCACTCAGCGTAAATTGATAAACGAATTGATGGTGCAATATATCATGTGTTTCTTAAAATCAAAAATGCCAAATATTCTGATACACACATAAATCTTATATTTTTCATTGCATACAGTGACAAAAAATATTGGGAACGCTATGTGCAGATATTTGGATGACTTCCAATCTGGAGAAATGCTCAATTTTTGGCTCATCGGTACTAACTCGTTCGCTCATTTCATATAAATATTTTTTTTTGCTTCTCTAAGTGTTCAGACATGTTGAACTTAAGCAAAACAAGTTCAAGCAAAAAAAAGGTCCCGGTTATAAACATTGACACTGAATGTTAGTCAATTTGGAAATATTATTATATATACAAATTGAAAAACAAAATAGATAAGTCGTAGTCAAAATAGCGCCTTTCCTTTTGCATTTAAATCACATTTTTTTCGCTTGAACAAATGCCAAAATGAAGGAAACTCATAATAATTGAATTTATCTGTATATCGTGATGTCAATTCTATTGTTTGACAAAATGCTAATGAATGTTCGCATAAAATAAGCGATTTCCTGCCAAGTTTCTACTTTAACAATCAATGCAAGCGAAAAAAAAAGAATCAAAAAAAGTGTTGCGTGCAAAATTACATCCGATTATACTCGAAGACAATTTGATAACACCGATAATTGAATGTACAATATTGTTGAATGCAAACAATAAACAACGTCATTCATTCAAAACGTACGAAGATAAGAAAAAAATAATACGACGACAGTGCGATAATTATTGAACGAACCGGAGCAAGCTGAACGTTCCGAAAATGGTTTGCACTACGATGCGCTGTAAAATGTGCATAGCAATAAGGTTGTACACTCATGCAAAAGTTGTTCCGTGCATTTGTGGATCCATCAGTATAAGCATGAAAAAAATGAAGAGGTGTAATGCGCTCAATAAGCGTAATGCTTTGTTTGCCGAACTTAGTATAGACAGTGCCATCTATATATAGAATGGGATATTATTTCACAAGTTTGAGAATGAGCGCATATGTTATTCCAAAAATTGTTGAAAAATAATTTAATAAATTGTTTCATTTTTTTGTTTTGAAAGTGAAGTTAGCACAATAAGAATTAGATAATTTCTATTTTAAAAAAACATAAATTTATATGCGTTTTAATTTAACTTAAAAAGCCTCGGGTGTAGAGTGTGTAGATCTTGTAGAAATGATTTTGTTAAAATCTCCATACGTAAACTCATAAGTGTGAGTGTGACATTTGACAGATAGATACAAAACGTAATGTTATTGTTCTCTTACATACTTGTCATACACTCGTGCGAATTATTCTGTTCTGTTAAGTTCGTTTATTCCGTTCATTTATTTTATTTATATTCTTAATCTGGCAATCACATCGCAAAATTGCGTAAAAATGGCAGATTCTATTAACAGTTCTATTGATCTTGACACCGGCTGTATAAAATATCCTGATGGAGACTTTACTTTTATATTAAACTTTATTCTGTTTAGTTCGCCAAAAGATAGAGTGAGGGCGTTAGTGTGACAGATTTCATATAAAAAAGCTACTGTATTAGAGATCTTAAAAAATGGGAACGATCAACTCAATCTGAAGCCAAACCGAGCCTCCTAGCCACAGCAAGATAAACGGATAGTCAAGTTGTTCGATGAAAATTTAGGTATGTCGTTGAGCCAAGACGGTGAAAGGCTATACCATCCTCAAAAAGACATCTCGTGCTCCACTGTCAAGAAAAGATTAGATGTTGCCGGTGTTCGTTATCGCACTAAATTGAAGAAATCACTTTTGACAGAAAACCAGAAGAAAAACGCATTGACTGGGCAAAGCAAAATTCAACAGGAGATTGACGAGTCATTCTGGACTGACGAGTCATTCTGGTGAAAAGAACTACCCATGCCTAGTCTAGAGCCGAAAAGAGAGTGGTCGTTCGCACGTTAAAGCATCCGAAAAAGGTGCATGTTTATGGTTGCTTCTGTGAAGATGGTTTTGGAAAGTTGGTCGTATTCACGGGCATTCCAAACGCCATGAGAATGAACCAACTTTATTCATTGAAACTGTTACCCAACGCCAAGAAGTTTTATGGCAAAGGCGATTCGAATTGGCTTCTATTAGAAGACAACGATCCAAAACACAAAAGTCGTCTCTGCACCGCTGGAAGGAGGAAAATGACATTAAACGAATGAACTGGCCACCACAGTCACCCGATTGCAATCAGATCGAAAATGTTTGGGCCATTATTAAGGCAAGGCTTCGTGGCAAAACACACCGCAATTTGAAGCAGCTCAGTTCATTCATTCAACGCCAGTGGAAAGGTTTTCAATGTGAATATGCTGAAAATTTGAGCAAAAGTATGCCCAAAAGATGTGCCCGTGTGATCGAGAAAGACGGTGACTGGATAAAATATTGATTATGCGCGAAGTAGCTTAGAGACTAAGTAAAACATCAATGAGAAAATTTATCTCAACATCGTGTGTTTCAATTAAATTTTTCTACATTACAGATAAAAAAACGCACTGTACATTAGCAATTGAAATAACGCACATAATAAATCCGCACCTGTTTTGGTTCGTACACAAAAATAGCACGATACCAAGTGCCGATGAAATCGAAGAAGCTTTGAAAAAATATGCAAAAGAAAATGGCGATATAAAAGGAGCCGATCCAATGGAAGATATCGCTGCGAACCAATGGTGGCGGTCTTTTCGATGAAAAAATGGATTCGGGCCAATGTTAAAACTACCGACGAGCCACTCAAACCAAATGAAATCAATTTTGTAGACCATGGACTATGGTTATCTCATCAAAAGCACATTAGATTTAGTTTTAATATTGGACATCGAGCTTAAGAGAACATGCTGTAATGATGTACCAGATTATAAGCATGTTGACAGCTGACATAAGACAATACATTGTCACACGATGGATCTTTGGTTGAGCATCAACCATCATACGATGCATACGTGCATTATAAACACATTAAATAAAAACTATTATTTAAGTTAATCCGGCCTATTTTTATCATGAAAAGACCTTCTTTTTACACATGATTCGTCATCTCAAACATTCACGGATTTAACGCCTCCATGCGAAATGCCGATGCTCCACAAATGACTCAGCCGAAAAATGCCTACGCATCATCAATTTGTTGACGATCGGGATACTATTGAATCTAGATGATGAAACAGCATGTGCGAAATATTATAAAGACACCGGTCGCCAATGACAAGAGGAGTATGCCCTAGTGACCGATCCCTGGTATTGATGCTCAATACTGCACACTGGACATCTTTCGAGTCAGGTTTTATTCGTATTCAAATATACATTGTACGATATAATGAAACTACACCGAACAAAGTGCCCGAAAATGGCGACACAAAGGAGGCGAACCGGTGGCGGTCCATTCATTATCGATGAAAAAATGGATTCGGGCCAATGTTGAAACTACCGACGAGCCACTCGAACCAAATGAAATCATTTTATGGGCCATGTACTATGGTTATCCGATCAAAAGCTCATTGGATTTAGTTTTAATATTGGTTGATGTCTCAGAGAATTTGGCTCAAAAAACCCCAGCAAATTGAAAGATTTTTCTATTCGGCAAAAATCCTAGCTAAATTTAATATTTTCTCCCGATTCAAAAAAAGTTCTTACTTTTTTCGAGAATATTTTTCTTAATTTGTAAAGGGGTAATTTCAAAATCTGTTCTCCAGGAGGTAATTCAACCCCCCGGACCCCTGCTCAGAATCTATGACCGTTCCAATCGGTTGATTATCTTTGATACACGACGACACAACAGGCTAAGGAATGAACGAACCCCACTTGCCCCCACAACAACATCAATTCTAAAGTGTTTTTACATGGTGAATCCAAAGTTTTGGGTTTGAGATCATTTGGGGTTATGATCTTACCGACTCCCTCTGGGGTGTAAGAAGTTGGAGGGCAGCAAACCCAAAAATATATTAGTATTAGTACATTATTTCTTGAACGTATGAAGTTTTGCAAAATGTAGAGTGGTTGAGTACAAATTATTGGTATATAAAACATACTTCCCGTTCAGTACAAATTCCAAAAGTGGCACTACAAATTAGAATAAATTATCTATGCTTGAAATAACTCCCTAGCTCTAAATCGTGCTTATTAAGCTTCGACGAATTAAGCAGGCTGTGTGTTCGAACTAATTTCAGCAGGCACTGATATTTCTAGCTATACCGTATAGCCAGAAATACATGGGCACGGAAAAAATTTAGGGGGGGGTCCATCGGCCACTTAAAAAACCCTAGCAAATCAAGACATTTTTTGTCGCGAAAAACCCTAGCAATTTTAAAGATTTTTCTATTCCTCACAAACTTGAAAACCAAAAAAAGGTCTTCACTTTTTCGCCGAAAATCCCTAGCAAATCGGAAGATTTCTCGGCAAAAAACACTAGGAAATTTGAAGATTTCTCTCTACCTCAAAACTTGACAACCAAAAAAAGGTCTTCCCTTTTTTCGCAAAAACCCTAGCAAATCGGAAGAATTTTCGGCTGTCGTCGGGGGTAGCTCGGACGATTTAAGGGGGGTTACGCGCCGTACGTTGTCCAAACTATTTGTTTCAAAATCTTACTAAATAAAATGAAATTGATAGATAGAAAATGTTTTCCGAGAAAATAAAACATATATGTTGGCTGAATGTATTAAGTTAAGAGTACAATTTAATTGAAAATGAAATTTATGGAAAAACAACAAAATGAATACCTAGATGAATACCGATGATAATATTTATGATATAAAAATTGTGATAAAATTTACATAAAAAAACAATAGATCATTTTATTTCTGTCGAATGATAATCCTTCTATAAAAAATTGACTGAAAAATTTAAAACAACCGTCTTTCGGCAACGTTTCCAATGATTCTTCAATAAATCTACAATTTCAGTACGATTCTTTTGAAAATTGAATCCAAATTAAAATTGATCTTTCTTGGCTATTATTAATTCACACTAGAAACCAGACAGAATATAGCAACAGAAACAGAATATGAATTAAATAAAAATAGTGGAAAAATCAGTAAAAATTAACGAATTATAACTTATTAAATGAAGATTTTTTTCAACGCTAATTTTTTTCTTTCATTTTTCTAACTAAGCAAAATCGCAAACACATACATCCAACGAACATATCCTATTATATAAAAGTCGTTTTCTTTAAATGGATTATATGTTTGTCTTTTTTTATTTGCAAATGAAAAATATATTTTTATCCACTTGAAATTTCAATTAATACTTTTTTTCTATTCTGGAATTAATAACAAACAAAATGGAAAAATAAAATAGAAGAAGAAAAAAGATTTTAAAATTCTGTTTCCTAATTCTTCATTTTAATATGTATCGGATTTATTCGGTCATGACTTCTTCTTCTTTTCGAAAGACGTTGCCATATTATCAATACATTTGTAAGAACAATGCTCAATCTGTATCTGTATACTCAAAATGTGATAAGCACAAATTACAGTTATAATAAAATGCAAAAATATTGAAATCCATTTTGAATATTTGTAATAGAACTTCTTTGGAGCAGAATTTGTTTGAGCTGTTAGAAAATAGAGCAGCAAATATTTGTCCAGAGATTTGAAATCCATGATAAAATGAATCAATTTTAGTCAAGCACAATAGAGATTGTAAACAATACTAAATTCAACGAAATAAATGAACAATCTTTTGTCAAATATTTATTTTAATGACTGTGTGAACAAAACTTGAACTCGTTGCAATGATATTTATACATATATACGTCCAAAGACCTTAAAAACCAAGCGGTAGTGTGGCCGAGTGGTCTAAGGCGCTGCGTTCAGGTCGCAGTCGTGTTCTCACGTCGCGCGTTCGAATCGCGTCACTACCAGAATTTTTTTTATTACTTTCATCAACCGAATGTGAATGTGACTTGTTTTTATGATTTTTCACATATTTTACCATTTCTTTCCGAGCGCAAAAAAATACAGACATAATTTGTTGGGAGACAAACGTGTTAAACAAATTTATTTTACATGTAAAAATACTGATAACGCTGTGAAGTATTTTTTCTATACTTTTTTATAGTTCCGATTTTCTTTCCATTTTTTTCTTATATTTTTTTGCCAACAACGTTCTGACTTGGAAAAGATATTTCCAGTGAAGAAAAAACTTTGGAATGAAGAAAAAAGATTGAATTCATTGGATAATAAACAAACAAACACCAACAAGTGAACTTGTCAAAGTCTGATTTAGACAAAGTGGAGACGGTTGGTCACATTTTGTTGTTGAAAAAATGTGGCGTACTTTTCACAAAAAGCTGTATTGTTCACACACAAAAAACAGCTGTTTGGATATATGAATTGAAATGCTATTTTAACGAAGATCGAAAAAGTACTTGTTGTTTCAAGTGTGAAAAGAACGAAAAGCAATTCATCGCTTATGGTGCCATCATCGACGAAAAACAACAAAAAAAAAAATCGCAAAAAACAGCGAAATAGAATCAAAACAAAAACGACGTTAATGCGTCAGTCTGCGGTGTGTGTGTAGTGTTTTTGTAAGCCAAGATCAATATATATAGTTGTTTTACTCAAGTATACTTTGTTAAAAATGCTGAAAAAAAAAACAAAAGAAGTTGATTGAGCGCTTTTATATATGGAAGTCCAATGACAGCTTGCTATTTAACCGAATTTTTTTGTGTGCCATTAATTGAAACACACCGCCGAAATAATCGATAAATTATCTTAGCCGCAAACAAAAATGCAACGCGATTTAAAATCGAAATTATAAGAACCTGAATTTTGCGGGTGAAAACGTGAGAGCGTGTATTTCGTTGAGTGTCGTGGTTCAGTTTCAATGGCGGCTTTTTTTAGGTGTTACAAATATAATTTAATTTGAATATGCAATGACAATTGCATCGTCAACATTTTTTAGTGAAATCAATCGACCTTCAGACAGGTTTGGTGAGTGCACCAAAATTCGATCTACATTTTGCAAACTTCCGATTGACACTTGTTATTTCATATTGAACTTATCAACGCATCGATTCCCCGAACTACTTTGCTTCAATTGCAAAACATTTTACTCTCTCCAAATTACTGTCAAACAAAAAAGAAATGAACTATATGTATAATTATTCGATTTTCATTCATTAAAAATTCACTGGTATTAACATTCAAAGAAAAAAGTGCTTAATTTCCATTTAAAAAAGCCGCCAATTGTGTGGCGGGCGTATGGTATTTGTTCGAATCAATATAAATGCAAATTGAAACGCCACCGACGCCATTCACATCACTGACATCTCAGTTCAATTTAAACCGAGCAACAAAAAAACAACAACTGTATTTTAGTTACAATTGATGTCTCGTAAAGCATGTTAAGATACAGAGTTAGCGCGAAAAAAAAACTATTTGAAACGGCAAGTTAAATAGAAAAAAAAAACATTGTTACGTTCATCGGCCGTAACTCTAATGAAATAATGTGCGATCACGCTGAAGGCCTTTCGACATGTAAATTTTATGAGCAGAGAGAAAAAGATATAATATGATTATTGAGTCGACTGTGTCAAAAGTCACTTGAAACTTTTCTCTCTTCAAAAAATGCGGATAAATCAATTTGTCGCTTACGGCAATCGCTAAATTTTTAAAATTCAAAGATCGTGCTTCATTGAAATTTGTCCAATGTGGAAAAAAAAGTTCTTCTTGCGAAAATACCGCAGCATCGTGATCGCGACGGGTGCGCGCGCACAAATGCAAAACATTCCAAAATGAAACGAATTATGCAATCATCAATTAAATAGAGGCAATCAACACACACACACACACACACACATGGTGAGGCGAGATGCAAATGTGCACTTGCGGTGTTTTCGTTGCTAGTCGCGCATGAGTAAGACACTTGGATTGGGCTCAGTGGCACCAAAAGGTGGGTGATAATTAACATTAATATGGAAACTCAACATTATAACGAACGAACACAGAAATAATAATACACAAATGCTCACAACACAAGTGTAGAATAGGTCATGGTCTTGTTCTTTGTGGCTCTTGCTTGCTTCATTAAATGTGTATGTCTTCGGTTTTTGCATGCTGCACAAATTCAGCCGTTGTTTTGATACAGTCCGCACGTGTTGAATTTTCGACTCAAAGAAGATGTCAAATTGCAATTGTGATGAACCGTACCGATGTCGCACCTCTTCATACAATTTGATTCATTTCCGTTTGCTTTCACACTGGCACTTTGTCACCTCAATAATAATTATAATTTTCCCATCGTGTTGATGATTTATTGTGATTTAATGTAAATTTAACATGAATTATTATTTTCAACATCAAATTCATCCGTCGACCAGTCTGTCACTTGATTTGATCACAAAGTCTTCAATACAATATGGAATTTAAGGTGTGTGCTCGTTCCAATTGTGCGTTTTGATTTATTTGCACAAAAAGTTAATTTTCATAATTTGGCGCATGCCTTTGACAGAAATACTAGGTGCTACATTTGATAATTGGATTAAATTATACGGGATGCTGACCCAAACAAACAGGTGTTAAAAATGTTGGAGTGTTTTATGAGCATGATATATGTGAAGGTCGATTCCCCTGAAGCCATTGTACTCATGAAAACCAGTGAATGGGAGAAAATCCCTCAATTCGAATCGATTTCACACGGATCTCAGGCGCTTTTATCGTTGGATTCACATTAAAATTGATCAAAATCGACACAGTGGGCAATTAGAAACGCCAAAACTATGGTTTTTTTTAAATAATATCGAGCGATTTTGTTGTTATACTTAAAAGCTAGCTAAAAAGTAATCGGACGAAACATTAAAATCCATATTTGGTCAAATGGTTAAAATGCTGTCTGCCGATCGAACTTGACCTTTAGTTTTCGACTTTGGCTTAGCGATCGCATGTGTTTGTATGTGCTGATTTTGTGGTCAGTGGAGAAGAAATTCGGCGCCATTCATCGTTCCCTCCAAAAAAAAAAAATTCAAAAATCACACACAATATTTGGCTTTGTCCATTTCTTTGTTGCCTTTTTCATATATTGTTCACGATACATATATTTAATTTTATGACTTTTAAATTGCAAAAATCCATCAGTACACATCGTGTTGGGGATGAATATGTTTATATTTGCGTATTCAATGGAATATTTTGTCGCCAAAGCCATCCATTTTTTTGAAATGTATTATACGCCATATCCGTGCGCCCGTCTTAAATTGCCACTTTTGATAATTTCATCAAAGAGAAAAGACAAAACCGAACGAAGAAGCATTAAAGGCACGTTTTTGTACTTAACTCATAATGATAAATAGAGTCAAATATAACTGTGATTTGAAAACGTACGACAATTGAAAACTGGTTATGTTTTGTGTGTGTGTGTGTGTGTGTGTGTGTGTGTGTGTGTGTGTGTGTGT